GGGAAATATTTGCAGGTCATCCACCATTTGATGATAGAGCTCACAATCATCGTTTGATTTTTGATATATGTGAAGGTCTACGACCACCAATATTACCTGAAATGCCATCTGATTATGCACAAATGATGCAAAGGTGTTGGGATGTGGATCCATCAAAAAGACCAACTAGTAGAGAGCTGTTTGATTTTTCTGATAATAAAAATAAGGAAATTGTCAAAAATAAAAGTTTAACAAATAAGAGCTTAAAAAATAATAGTTTAATAAAAAGATTATTCAAATTTTCTAAAATCAAAAAACATGAAATTGATTTTAGTAATAACAGCAGCAACAGCAGTGGTGGTAGTGATTTGCAACAAGTACACAAACCACATCCAGATGCATATCATACAAGTAGAATATTAGATGAAGAGATTGCTAAGTCTAAGAGCTTGAAAAGTTATACAAGTAATGATAGTTCGTTGAATAATCTTGATTTTAACTCTTTTCTCTAGAATATTAAAAAACGTCAATAAAAATTTTATTATTAATAATTGGAAATTACTATCCGTTAATTATTACTAACAATACAATATTAATTGATTAATTAATTAATTAACATTAGATTCTAATGATAATTGGTCAAAAGAAAGAATCAATTTAATCTTCACTATAAATTTATTTTCATCTTTTTATTTATCTTTTTATTTTATCATTATTTTGTTTCTCAAAGCTAATATAATAATGTTTTGAAATAATAAACTTTTTACAATTTTTGATTCTTGTTAAATGGTGATATTGCGAGGTATCATTTTGATTAATTAACAATTATGGTTTAACTTTTGGGCTACTCTTATCAGTTAATTATAAATAACTCAATTAATTAGTTTATGAGCTTACTCTTTCTTGCATCAAGACGAATCTGCGAGTCCAAACCTTTGCTTACTCACTAAAGCAAATAAACGTGGCTTTTTACCAAAGCTTACAATTGTTACCTTTTATCAATGCACTAACTACACTTGTTGCTTTTATCAAAGTGCTTTAAACAAAGAGAATAAGTACAGTTTTTATTATTAAAAGTTTATTAATGATTAATTTTAATAAAAACAATGATTCTATTGCAGAGACTTAGAATGTTAATTATCTATTGTTTTTCTTTGCGAGGATCCGTAGTTATTCTTTTTAAGGAAAGACCAGAAGTTATCCTTAATGGAATTTTCATTGATCACTACAATAAGGACAAAGATAAAGATTGTTTATTATTGCAAAGTAACTTAATCAATCAATCATAAAAAACCTCCATAATTATTTACAAAGTAATTTGATAATAATTATAAAAAGCTAATAAATTGTTGGCCCTGAAACATAAACTGCCGAATCCTTAATTGATGATATAATTTACCCGATCATGTATATAGTAATTGTATTTAGCAATAGAAAAACTTAGCTCCTTGGGAACAACTGATGAAACAAAGGAAGATTGGAATACACAAAAAAAATAAAAATAAGTCCTTGGAATATATACTTGCAAGTCTTTTTGTGATCTTTTATATTTTGTTAACCTTTAAAGCAATTTTACTTGCATCATTTTTGACTTAATGGCAACGAATTTGATGTAATAATTTTACAACTTTGATAATATTTCATTAGTAGAGGCTGTACGGGAAATCATGTCCACGATCAAAGGTCCATCACGAAAAAGAAAATACAAAGTATCCATGAAAACAAAATTAAAGATACCTAAACTAGCGAACCTAGCAATTGAAAACGCTGTCAACAATGACGAGTGCAGTACTCGATCTCAGATAACAACAACAACATTCTTTAATTGTTGCGATTCGGTTTGTTATTTTTTTATGTGCAATTTTTATTAAAAAATAAAACAAAATAAAATTAATGTAATTATTTTCTTTGTTTTTTTATATTAATAAAAAATCTCGTGACGGGTTTTCATGCAATTGAGATGATGGAGAGAGGAAAACGACCTCAAGTCATTTTTCACATTGTCAATTACCTAAACCTCTGAACCTTGCAATTATAAATAAACAATAAATATAAATATGATAAATCCGCTGGATTATTCAAAAAAAAACAAAAAAATTAATCATTACAAAAACATCCTTTTCATGCTCACCAAGTGTTAAATCTTGAGTCTTTGCAAGATGATGAAAGTGTTTTTGAACCTCCTCCCAAATCTGACCCAGTTGCTCCACTTAATGATATGCAGACTGCCCCCTTGCTTAAACAAACCTACAATCTATTCCCATTTGGACGCCTTACCTAGAGTATCTGTCTGCTAAGATCAACAAATCTCTGCTCCAGACAAATTTATGTCGCTCATTGAGACGATCAATTCTCTTTCAAAAGAAGCAATTATGTTAGTCAATTAATAGTTAGAGTAGGTACATTCCAGAAAAACCATTATAGTGGCAATCATCTAAAGACATCATCAAATGTTGCCAATCTTTAAGTGCTGATACTTTATTAAATATGGGTTATTTTACCAAAAACTCTCTATTTTGCAATATTCTAGACATGAAAAATAATGTAATAAAAAGTTTTTTTTGAGTTATTTAATTAAAAAAAGTTATAATGGTTTAAAGTTGGGTAACTTTGCTATTTTATTTGAAATTTCGGCAACTATATATCAAAACTGTAATTTACAGATTATTTACCAATTATTCACGTGACAAAATCACAGATCTTTTACAAATTTGGATTTATTTTATATCGATATATTAGATTCTTTATAAAGCAAGATCAGCATAAAAATTTTCGGCAAGTGGCACAGCACGTAATGTCTTTAGATGATTCGCACCATACCTATTCATTTATTATGTGTGTTGCAATAAAATAATATTTTGATGAAGGGCTGTGCCCTTACTAAGAATTAATGCAATAATTAATTATCAATTTTAAGTTTAAAAGTGTGGGGCTCACCACCTTTTCAAAATCAGAACCGAATTTAGTGTTGTAAAACGAAAGCAAAAATTGCACGAAAATAAAATCAGAACAACACGGAAAATCCCATTCAAGAATTTGATAAACAATTATCAAACTCACGGGAATTATCAAGAGAGTAACATTTCCTTCAAAATAAAGGTTTGTTTAATTTTACGGAATACTTTAATTAAATCAAATCAAGAATTTAGAAATTGGGAAACTAGATTGAACCTTTATCATATATATACAAATAATATTGTGATTTTCTTTGAAAAATAGAAAATCGATAGTTAATTAATGACCAACCGTCCTTAACCTTAATCTCGTCCTTGTTTATTTGTCCTTCCTTGTTTTGGAATTGTGTATTTTCGTAATGATGATAATAAGCCTATCTCTGACAATGAATTCATAATAATTACATCTATGTATAATTAATTTTTCTCTTATTTTATATTTGTCTCTGATTTTTATTATTATTTTTTATTTCTTTTCTTTAATGAAGTAATATTTAATCAATCTTATTTAGCAATGTACTTGACTTGAATAAGGAGTAACAGCACCCACCAAGAAACGTGGTTAGGACGTAGTGTGATTGTTTAGTATTGCTTAGCAAGAAATTGTTTAACGATGGTGAAAGATAGTTTGTATTTGTGTAAATTGTTGTTGCAATTTAGTATAAAACATATTGGAAGAAATTGTATTATTTTATTATAAACGTTAAAACATGGTTGAAACTTGGACACAATCTCGCAACATACATTCATATATACATTTTAGTATTTTTTTTTGTGACGAAAAATTTGATAGATGATGAAAAATAGAAACTGGTTGCAACCAGTTTTAAATCGATTGTCAAACTTCAGTGTGGGGGAAAAGGGGTATATTAATATAAACAATGCTTGCTAATCACACTTTTTGTATTACATCTTTTTTCTTTTTGTTAAATTAGATTCAGACTTTTTTTACTAATTAACATTTAACATAAAAAAAAACTTTTAATAATTGAAGAAAATTATGTATTGGTATGGGTAATGGAGCAGCGACATCATTTGGACGAAAAGGAAGAAAAACCAGTTGCACTAAAAATTAGAGCAGAATGGATTAATGAATGATAGTATTGATACTAAAGATGTGTTGCACAGAAAGTACTCCTATTTTTGTGAGCAATTAAAAAAGATAAAAAATATATCATCATCAATGCATACAAATGTTCTTTCATTATTCCCAAAAAGTTATTATTAATATGCATATTTTAATTCATATTTGCGTAACAGTCATTTTTAGGTTGACGTCTCAAAGGAAGGTGTTGAGGGCCAGAAGATTTTTGCCACTAATCGTAAACAACTTTGTTTAGAATATATTTAGATTCCCCATAACAGATTCAAAAATTTGTTTATTTATTTAGTAAAAAATTATACTATTGTTATATATTAATCAACTAGTGCACACCCCTCATTTTGATTGGCTAATTTCAAAACAAATAATGTGTTACGTAAATAAGCAGGCTAATGCAACACCCGCAGGTTTTTCTAACCAAAGTAAAAAGCATGCGGATAAATTTGGTGGCGTATATATATAGTAGTTTTTACTTTTTATAATATTCATAACATTTACAATTGGCAATCTTTTTTAATGAAAATAAGAACAGGCTTACCCGTGGTTTATTAATCTTGAATTTGAAAAAAAAGTTTATAATGCAAATAAAATGAATGGAATATTCTGATCCGCATGTGTATACGATGACACATGTAAATATAAACAATACACTCAATTCAAAAAATAGAAATCCATCATCTATTGACACAAAAATTTTTGTGATTCAAAAATATTTTCAATTATGGAGAGGTTTTCTCAAATTACATTGATAATATGTAAATAAAATGCGTACATCTAACGCATATAAATACACTCAATCAAATCCTTCTTAAAAGTTTTATCTTATCTTTTAATTAACGATTTGTTCAAAATGAATAATCATTCTCCAGCACCATTATTATTATTATTATTATTATTATCATTATTGACACTTTCTAATATTACAAATGTTTCCTCCTTACCAGCACAACCAACTATAACTAGTTGTTACGATCATGACAAAAATGGAATAAAAAGAGTTGACTGTTTATTTGTTAAAGGAGAGCCAAAATTCGTCAAAAATCAAGCTGGAGATGATAAAATGATTAAATTCAATATTACTTGTAATTTTCCAGAAAAACTAGGTTTTTGTGACAAAGTTACAAAAAACTTGGACACTACAGGGAAAATTATTTCTGATGTTATAAAATTTAGCGAACCTATCACCGTAGATATCGCTTTTAAATCACAAGATCCAGCTTCATTAGGTAACAATACTAATAATAATTACAATTACAATTACAATTATTATTATTATGATTTTATAAAATTTTAATTTTCATTTATTTATTTAGGTTTTGCAAGGTCAACCAGAAGAATTAGGTTGAAGGGTGGGGATGGAGTGGTCAGACTGTATCCACAATCATTAGTAAAGCAATTCGGACTTGCAACACATCCGGAATTTTTACCTTCTGACATAACTGCAGAGTTTAACTCCGATTATGAATATTGGTTTGAAGACGATGTAACTCCAATTACTCCAAAACAGACAGCATTTGTACTATTGACGATACACGAACTTATGCATGGCCTGGGATTTTTGTCATTATGGCGTCCAAATTTTTCCGGCGAAAATGTGACAGAATTGGTACCATTTCCCAATTTCATTGATGCTCCTACTCCTCCAGCAGTAATATTTAATGGTTTTTATGAGAGTATATTTGATAGGTTTTTGATAGTATCAGAAAGTGGCACACCATTATCCAGTTTCACAGCCGAATTAAATACTTTTGCAACAATAGGCACACAATTTGACTCACTTGATGATTTTTATGCCAAATTTAAAGCGTCTCCTCAGTATGCAAAAGCGACTGAGATGTTAAAATATAGCACAACACCTTTATCATTGGCTTTCTTAGCAAAAGGCTTGGATTTTAAAACAATTGTACCAGATAAAACTGCTAATGATTCATTGTATTATTTGGAAACCAGTCTAGTACCTTACATATCAGGATCAAGTGGTACTCATGTGAGTCTAGATTTGTATGAAAAAACGAGCGAGTTCATAATGGTTTATCTGATAAATCTAGGAAGAGGAGTGAAGGATGCAATCAAAGATGGTGGCAATTATGTTGGGGGAGCAATTGGACCTAAACTTAAGTCTGTTTTTGAATCAATGGGCTACACGACTGCAGATAATCTAACTCCGGAAATCCCGACTGTGCCTGATGTGCCAGTAATTATGTAAAGAAAATTCTTGTAAACAAATTTTATTTGTTTATATAAACATTTAGATTTTTATTAAAATTAGAAATTTTTAGAGAAAATCGGGAACAAAGAATTATATAAAATTATTAACATTTAATTTTCATATTATCTCTACTGCTTTTAATCTATTTGAGATGATTATGTTTAAAAAGAAAGTTAAAGCTTTCAAAGAAACATTTCATAATTACACACCCCTACAAAAAGTATCGACTCCGCAATATAATCGAATAAACGGGTAATATAAATACTCGCTTTTTTACTAAGCAAATCGATTTTGTGCATTAGTGAGAAAATGTTTTCTGAAATGATTCCCAGTATACTCTAAAATATCACAATGGACTGATTGTTATTGATAATTTTATGATATTTAAAAGTCAAATTAAAATTTTTCGAAAAAGTAGTACTTAGTATTAGAGCTATTTTAAGATACAATGCTTTAACACATCTTGGGAACTTAGAAAATGTTGTTCCGTTTGTTCTCTAATGTATATATATATACATGTTCATAATTATTGATCGAATATTCATGGAAAATTAATACAAAACGTAAAAATAACGAAAAAATTTCATCCACAGTTTGTATAATATTTTTACATAATAAATCTTTATTAAATTTATATCAAAAGTATCAAAAAAAGGTACAAGTATTTCATTCATTTATTCAATATTTTATCAGGTTTCCTTTTGATTCAATTACAGCTTGAGCCCTTCGAGGAATGCTATCTACTGATTTTTGTAAATAATCACGATCAATATTTGCCCAATCATCCATTAAATTAGAAACCAATTCATTTGTATTTTTTTGGGGAGCAATAGTAGTTTGATCTTAAATGCTTTTATTGCACAACTGAGGATGATTGAGTACACCAGCAATGTCACGAGTGATTTCATCTACTTCCCAACGTCCAATTATCCAAAATCTGTTAATTGAGACATGATTTTTTAATTGAAATAACAAAAAAACAATTAGTTTTGGTTGTTTGCGCATCATCTTGCATAAAAAATTCATTACGATTTTTGTATTAATTCTCCACGAATATTCGATCAATAATTATGAACATGTTATATATATATACATTTGAGAACAAACGGAACAATATTTTCCAAGTTCCCAAGATGTGTTAAAGCATTGTATCTTAAAATAGTTCCAAGTGCTACTTTTTCGAAAAATTTTCGAAAAATTTTAATTTGACTTTTGAACATCATAAAATTATCAATCCATTGTGATATTTTAAAATGTTAGGGAATTATCTCAGAAACCATTTTCTCACTAATGCACAATATCGATTTACTTTGTAAAAAAACGAGTATTTGTATTATCTGTTTATTTGATTATTTTTTTGCGGAGTCGATACTTTTTGTAGGGATGTGTATCAATTGATTTTGATGAATTTATAATAATAAGAAATGATAATGTTTGGCAATATATCTATCCACTATATTACTGTACTTATTACGACCTGGTTATGACATTACGACTTATGAGAATTTGAAAATGGACGTCTAAAAATATTTATGTCATTATGACATTACAGCAAGTCAAAAGTCATAATAGTTTGGGCTGCATGTATATTAGTAGTGTATGCATAATTTGATCTAATAAAAATTAAATTTATTTTTATCAAAAAGAAAAATTTATTCGTTACTGTTATTACAATTTTTCAAAAAAAGAAATCTTCTACAGTCCGTTTTATAACTATGCAAATATGCAAATTGCAAATTGCAAATTACATATCGCAAAGGCTTGTCTCTAAACTTTTGGTAAAACTAAATTTTTGGGGAAGGATGAGAGCAAAATTGAAATACAAAACATTGTGGTGAACAAAAATTTTTTTTTTTGCCAATTAAATAACATTGTTTTATTATTTTCCGCTTAATGATGATAAACTGATTATTTTCCTAGATTATTAATAATTAACAATTATTTTTTAACAATTATTAATATAAAAATTATTAATAAAGGTGTGAAAAAAAAAATCGAAATATTGCTTATCATCACCATTGCTATTATCATTACTAGCTTCATTATTACATTGGTCTATAAAATAATAATATGTTATTTTTAAAATTAAAATAACGCGTAAAATTGATAATCAAAAAAATTTACCTTCAGTGGTCACATTACTTGGTATGCTTCATTAATGCAACCATCAGCGAATAATAATTCCAATACTGTATCATTACTTCTTGGTTCAGTACCAAACAATATGGAGTATTGTGAGTTGGTCTTGAAATAGGAGTATTCATACTATGGATTATAATTTTTAGTGCAAAACTCCAATCATCTCGATGGTTACCTTTCATCCATTTTGATAGCTTGTTTTCTAAATCCTTATTTCCATATTCTATAAGCCCCTGGATGGCGTGGTCTTCCATTAATAATTTTTGTGCCTGGTCACATCTCCACTAACTCTTTTATTACTTGAGAATTGAACTCCTTTCCATTATCTGGTTGTAATATTGTTGGAGCTCCAAAAGTTGTAAACAAGTCAAATAGATTTGCTGTGACCTCAATTGAAGATTTAGATTTCAAGGGATATCCCATGAATATCTAGTAAAATGGTCACGAGCATGAAGAATGTATTTATATTCTCCATCAGGAGACATTTCCACAAGGTCCACCTATTAATTTTTATGAATTATTTTATTAATTTTATTTTAATAAAATGAACCAAAAAAAAAAATCAATTAAATTATGAAATATACAGAACCTACCAAAAATGGCAATTCATTCTACAAAAATAGAAACTAAATTGTGGCTCAAAATTTTTGTAAAACCTACGTGACATTTATCAATGATGTGATGATTAAATTTGTGGGCTGGGGTGGCAAGAATTACGGAGTGTTTACCAACTCTAAGAATTAATTCTTATTTGTCACATAGGTTCTGTATATTACCCTTAATTTAAAATTAATTACTTGTAAGCGTAACATAAAAAGATGTTGCAATTATCAGTTTTCCAGCAACCATTAATTGTCTAACATTATTTCTGCTAGAGCAAGTAAGACACCTTTCAACAAATAATTCAATTAAGTCTTGTTTAACTCCACCCCACTTTTTTTTTAATATTACTCCAAGTTTGATTTTGACCTCCATGGTTATTTTGTAAGTGGGTCTTACAAAATACCTGGTAAAACTCCTCTTTTACTATTCATGGCTTTAAATTATCATCATTTTTTTTGGTCCAATTTTTACATATACACTTTCATTATCTCCAATTTTTTGGAGGACAAATTTGCTTCTGATATTATATCTCTGAGTAGCTGTTGCTTGATTTTTTGAGCCTTGTGATGTAGTTTTTATATCATTGTAATCAGATCTTGTTAAAATTTACAATTATTGGAGTCATTTGTCCATTGTTCTACCTACTGCTTCATTGAATAAGGATAAAGAAATGAATGTACATTCTTTAGTAGACATTTTTATATGGTAATTGATTTAGGTTTTTAATTGAATTGAAAATGTAGAAGATATATGAAGAAATAATATTCAATTATAATTAATCGATTATTAATAAAATTGATATAATTGTGTAAAGAATCAATTCATCCTTTTTATCAAATTTTTTTTTTTTGATATAAATGACAGTAACTTGATTCATTAAATCAAGTTTATCATTATTTTTTCATTATTATTATTAAATTTTTGATCTAATGTATGTAAAGAATCAAGATTAAAGTTGTTAGCAAATCCGAAATATTTAGGCATTTGCTGAAATATTTTGAAATGCTGAAATTATTTGGTAAATGTCAATTCTACTTATTACCTTTTATTGTTATACATTTACTTACACACCTTCTGCCCTATTACTATAAAAAATTATTGATGGAAAATGTATGGAAGAATGTATAGATCTTCCAGTGAAAAAGTACGGGATGCATACAGGTTAGATATGGTATGCATATGGAATACATATTAATATAAATTACGGGATTTAAAGCATCTGGAATTTGTATTTCTCCATATGAATTATGCAATGTGTTGTGTTAATATTAAATTACATACTAGTATGGGAAAGATGAATTCTGTATTATAGTATGTTTTCCATAAATTCCAATCCAATATGCATCCTGTATGCATTGTAAATCCCGTGTGTATTTCATATCAGATATTAGTACGCATCATGGATCTATCCCATACTTTTTTTTTGGCATCAGTATGCTTTCCATAAATTCCATGTGTATTAAATATAAATTTTTGATCTAATACATGTAAAAGAATCAAGATATTATTATTATAATAACAAACTTGATCTAATGCATGTTTTGGCTTGTTATTTTTAATTAGAAACAAGTCATGATAGATTTTAACTATATTATTACTAATGGATTTTTAATCTTTAATTATCTTTATTATTAAAATCAATTCAAAATCCGGGAATTTTTTTGATCTTTTTGTTTGCATCCCTACATATTCATGTTCTAAAATTAAACACATATTATGAATATCTGTGTACAATTTTTACCTTCCTGAAAACATGGAATCTGTAATTGGTAATTCTATTTATAATAAATACGGAGATTGATTTATTATGAAAATTTAGGATATGGGACATCCTATAAAATATGGAATTCCAAGTAATATCCACATGTCTAGTCTAACAAATAACAAATAATACTATAAACAGATAAAATTATTTTACAGATTTTTTTATTTTAGAAAATTTAACATAATAAAGTATACAACTACGTAATCAACCCTATTAATCCGAAAAACCCTGTTAAACCAAAGTTGGTTCTAGAAACCAAATTTACTAAACCTAATTATAATAATACTAACAACTAATTTTGAACGGAATAACGGGTTGACTATGTGATTTGTGGTCTAGTACTAGGCCCTATAAATTATGCGTGGCAAAGTTTCTTTTTCAAAATAATAGAATTTCGATAAGGCTTTGAAAAAATCTCTGTTGATTAACCTTATATAGATTCTATACAAATATACTAGGGAATGATTATCTTCAATTTAGCACCTGTAGC